TATCTATTTATAGAGGTCATTTAAGCGTACTGAGGAAGCCAAAAAGCCGACCGTCAGCCGCCTCTAATTAATGACTTTGGGAACCGCACAAAAAACAACCTTTCAGTCACTTCAGTCGCTGACGTCACGAGATTGGCATCAGGATCGAGGCGTCAAAGAACAATTCATTTTTTATCGATTTATTTCGAGTTTGAGCAAAGTGTTCACTCGACTACTAAGCCCAAGGGCTACCCGAGTTTGAGAAAATTCTCACTCGGGGACTATAAAAAAGCCTAAGGGCTAACTTTATTTCAAGTTCGAACAAGTGATCGCTCGACTGCTAAGCCCAAGGGCTACCCGAGTTTGAGAAAATTCTCACTCGATGATTATCTACGAAGCCTAAGGGCTAACTTTATTTCAAATTCGAGACCTTGCTCTCACTCAACTCGGACTCAGGAGTCCCGATGTCCCGAGCTCGCATCAAATCAATTTAAGCTCAGCTCGAGGATTAACAAGAACCTTAAGGGATATTCTATTGATCGATTGAAAACCTAAGGGTTTATTATGTCCAGATTCCGGTATTTGGACTAGTCATAAAGTTATACAATCAAATTTTTCACAAGTATAGACGAAATGGAATTCAACACGAGCCAAAAGGAAGACAAAAAAATCCTATTACATTTCCAAGAGATGGTTACAAAATATAACTACAACATCCATGAAGGGTACTTACACAGGAACAAAGAAGCAAAAAACAAAAGCCTAGAACCTAATCTACGTTTAAGGCCACGTCCTCGAGAGCGTCATCTTAAGGAGCCTCCTTCCCGGGGACCCCAATTTGATCTTTGGAAATGTCTATGTGCCCGAAGAAATTCAGGGCAGAAAAATCCTCGATAAATGTAACTATATTTCCAGCAACGGAGACTGAGCATTCTGTTGAAATTTTGGGCCATAATCCGTTAACAAAGAGCAGTAAAAGAAAAAGACCAGAAGGGAAGACAAGAAGAAGTAGCTTCGCCTTCAATCACAAGAAAAACCAAAAAAGGTTGCAAGATGCACGAGCAACGATCCAAGAATGTTCATCCTTGGGACGTTGTGCCGATGTAGGATGCAAAAGTTAGTAGATGATAGTGTCACCTCATTCCATGGAAAGCAAAAGGAATGAAGTGCCACACCAGGTAAAAGTTAAGAGAGATGAGCAGCAGGGAGAAGTTCGCATATTTCCTGATGCGGGAAGGATTCTGCGCCCTTCTCTCGTTGTTTTGAATCGAAGCTTTGAAAAGGGGAGCCTTGACGTAACTAGTAAAGTTGCTGCCGTGCGAACTTGTGATCGCAGGTTCGAACCATGGAAACAGATGATTAGAGAAAGAAGTAAAGAAGAGAAAGAATCAGAGTGAATGAAGATGAAATGCGTAGAGTTCTTTGTTCAAAAGAGCATCCTCATATTTATAGAAAGGCGACGGCGGTTCGGCGATGCTAGTGGCCGACCAGCACTGGTGCGCATTTGATGTTTTGGGGAAGAGCGTCGACGTGACATTTCGGTCACTTCAAGCACCTATGTCACGGGCATGACGTCATCATGAGAAGCTCCGAAAATCGAAGTTCTAATCATTTCTTATCATCTTATTCTAAGAAATGCGGGGACTATCTGTATACGGTCAAAATCAGAGGCCTCCGATTTATAGGATCGAGGATCCGTCATAGGCCCAAGTTCAGGCAAGGTCGAGTTCGAGACCGGTGGACCAGAGGCAAGCTTGAAGACAAAGCGCAATGCCCTGAGATAGGAGTACGAGGAATACCAGGCCCGAGTATACTCGACCCCAAAATAGTACCGTTAGGAATTCGTAACAGAATGAGCTAGATTCCTGCCACGCCCCATAATCGTGGCACAAATCCCGGAATAAGATTGTACGATTCCGTACTAGGCGGTTAGACAGTTGTATCAAGAATATTCCCAACTGTAAATAGAAATATTCCTTATTTAGGGTTCCCCTATTATATAAAGGGGACCCCAATCATTTGTAACATCATCTTATCACTGAGCAAAGGATATACTCTCTACCTTTTCGCCTACTGTTCATCAGCATTGTCCTTTAGCTCTATTGTTCTTACTTTACTTTTTTTATTTAACTCATCTTATTATTCCAAGCCTACCTCGAGGTCACTGAGCTCGAGGTAACTGCTGCTGAGTAACTTTGGTTTGATTTAATTGTCTCTTTTATTTCTACTTCATACTTCTAGATCATTATTGGTATTGAACTAAATCACATATCTTTAAAACCACAAATCAAATTTAATTGTTACTCGTATTTTCGAGGTAAACAAGCTTAAAATGCCAATTAGTTTCTTCATCATCTTATGGGCGAAATCAGAAGTTTGGGTGGATTTATATTTCTAACTTAATTAGTGAAAATAAAGTCTCATTATACCCTCTATTAATAAGTGGAAGTAAGTACGAAGTTACTATAATTAATACATTTTTCATATAAGTGCGTACGCCCCATACAAAATAGTACATAAGAAGGGTGAGAATTGAGGGAATGTGACTGCTAAAGGACACTGTTGATTAAGTTCAATTATTTTGTTGCTCTTATAATAATTTAGGGATTTTACGGCAAATGATATTAAAAAGTACACTCTGTTTTTCGATACAGCCATTAAAAGGGAAAGGAAAACCAAACCGAATAATGAATTCGAATTCATGACAATAAAAGTCAAATTAATTGTATTCTATTGACTACAAGATATCATGACAGAGACATAAAATTACGCTCTTAAAAAGGAGAATAATGACATCTTGGTATTAAGAAAACTGAAAGAATAAAATTATTTGAAGCCAATGTTGTTGTGAAATTCAAGTAACTCATTGATTACTAGTATCAAATAAAGGTCAAAGTTCCATTTGACTTGCTTCAATAAGTATTTATAATTTCTATATTTACTACACTCAATTAAGTAGTTATTTATTTTCATCATCAATTCAGCAATTTTTCTTAGTATTCATTTCATCTTAAATATAAAATCAGAAGAAACCATAATCTCTAAAGGGAATTAAAATGTTACAGTTCATGTCCAGTAGTATTTGACATTATAAGCTTTCAGAGAGTTAATCATATTAAATTTTGTCCATAATTTCTGAACAATTTTAAATACTTTGTAATGAAAGAAACTTATGTTGTAGTTGTCCACAATTTTCTTGACCATACAATTAACTTGTCGTATTTCTCTTTGTAATTTGTATTGTAAAATAATTTGACATTTCTACCTAAATTTAATATCTTTAACAGTATTTAATTAATTATTATATGAAGGAAGAGAGATAAAAAATCTTTAAGAGGAAGTGGAGTGATAATAATACAAGAAAAGAAAATAATGATAATAGGAAATAAGCACGTGCTGGAGCCCCCAAAAGAGTCACAAGAATAATCACATTGCGCAAGAGACCAACTCTAGTGAGTTATCATGTGCTATTTTTGTGGTGAAAGATAGTTTTTTGGGAACAATTTTACCGACAATAGAGTCGACAATTAGGTGATATACTTTGTTCACTTCCTCACTCTCTAAAACGCATCTCTTTCTCGCGTGCGCACACATTAACCACAACAACAACAACTATATATTAAGTAAAGTCATACCTCTTTATAACATCATCTCATGTAACATCACTTTTCTATAAAAATCAAATTTTTTTGGAACCAAATATCATTTTTTGTTATAATATATGTTCTATATAACAGCAATTCGCTATAACATCCAAAATATTCGGAACAAACGAGACTGTCATAGAAAGGGTTGACATTTTAATCTAACAAATAGATTATGGAAAGAGTAGTGTGTACATAGTCTTTACCCAAATTTTGTGTAAATAAAATAAATTCTTTTTGAATAGATCCTCGGCTTAAGGAGATAGTATAGAAAAAAACTACAGTAATAAAGAAGTGTGGGAGAAAAAACAACTTCAAAATAATACGAAAAATCGAAGCAGAAAAATTATCATGTAGTGTAGCGATCTGAGAATAATACTAGTACTACTTGTAAGGGAAGGAAAAATATTCGACTACCTACAAACCTTTTACGTTAGTGTGCACACACTAACGTGACAGTAAAAATTTATGCGCATTGTATTTACATAAAACTAATTAATATAAAATATGTATCTTGCATCCACGTATTTATTACTTAAACATGAATAATGTGATAGGTATTAATTTTTCAAAATTAAATTAAATTTTATATACTCGCTTGTGAGACTACGAAGTTGCTTGATGCACGGGCCTCACGATCGCGTGAGTTTCTTTTGCCTTGATATACGTAAATAGTAAACAAGGTAAAACCCACAGGCCACCAAAAGCGGCAAATTCTAGGTGTCTCGCATTATTTCTAGGCTGTAAAAGTAAATTTAAAATTGATTATAAAATACAACTCATCTCCTAATGGAATTACTAATAGTAAAAATTGAAAATCCCAAATTTTGTAAATTAATTAAGAAAAAATAAAGGGACTCAGATCAACCACCAGTAAGTAACTATGAAAAAAATCCTTTATTAATTGGTCAAAGAGCTGAGTTGTTGGCAATATCTTTGAATTTGACTGGCATATTTTAACTGGGCCGGGTATCCTGGGCCTCACGTGACAAACCACACGTAATTCAAGAATACAATTAGGAGCTGATTCAGCAAGCGTTTGAAATTCACTCTATTGGACCAACGCCGTTAACCGGTCCCACTTTCCCTACGTGTCAAAATCACTAACGGTGTTGCAGACTCATGGAGATGTGGCGAATCGTTATTCTTTGCCGTCGGCTATAACCGGAATCTTTGGTCCCCAGTTACCAACCGCCGGTGACTAGGTGTAGATATTTTACAGAATCTAATAGTATGAATATATTTATTTATTTTCCCTTATTTGGTTTTAAAAAATAAAGAAAGAGAAAATCTTTAAAAATAAATAAAAAATGGTGTACTTATTATGGAGCTTCTAATTTCGGCTGGTTGGATCCTATAAAACAGCGAATTGATCGTTTTAGACTCACGCTAAGTTTCAAACACAACTCTGTCTCTCTAAAATCTCACTCTCTCTCTCTCCTCATCATCAGCATCTTACCATTTGGAATTCAAAAGGAGCAAGAAAGTCATTTACAGTATCTATTCATTGCAAAATCTGGATTCATTACTTATTTCTTTTCCTTATAAACTCTCTTCCTTCCTTTACTGTACCCCTTAATTCCTTTTTTTAATCCCAGGCTTTGTTCTACGTGTGGGTGTATGTGTTTTCCTTTTACCATTCCGTCTTTTAACGTTGGGGTCCTCTTTTTGTCAGATGTTGTTATGAATCAGCGTGTTTTTGCGTCTTCTCTTTGACGATTCCATTGCTCTTCTCATCTTTTAAGAGTCCTATACTTTTGTGTCACTCTCAAAGCAATCATCCTTTACCTTCATTGGACCTCTAATTCCCCTTTTTGTTGTGTTAGAAACAGAGAAATAGTGAAAATAGCTAATCAAAAGAAACAGAGCTTCAATGGATCACGATATGTTGTGTCCGATCAAATATACAGAGCATCGAAATGTTATTAGAAAAGTCACTAAACCTTCCCCAATAAAATCCAAAAAATTTCCCGAACCCCAAAAATCCAACCAATACAATCGCTCTATTCCTCCTAGGACTGTTCGGATATCTGTTACAGACCCAGACGCAACGGATTCTTCTAGCGACGAAGAAGACGAGCTTTTTGGAAGAAGGCGCGTGAAAAAGTACATCAACGAAATTAGTATTGAAACCGCCGTTAAGTGTGAAGTCAGCATGCCTACCAGTGGCAAAACGGCGGTGAAGAAACGAGCAGCTGACGTTCTTCAGCCTAAGCAGAAGCCAATGAAGGTGAAGGAAGTACAACCCCCACAGTCGGCTGGTGCTGTTAGAAAGTTCCGTGGCGTACGTCAGCGGCCGTGGGGTAAATGGGCTGCTGAGATCAGAGACCCGGCTCGTCGGGTCAGGCTTTGGTTGGGTACTTACGACACTGCTGAAGAAGCCGCCATGGTTTATGACAACGCTGCTATTAAGCTTCGTGGGCCCGACGCCTTAACCAACTTCATCACTCCTCCCAAGCCTGAAATCGATGTCCCGTCAAACTCCGGCTATGAATCCGGGAACGAGTCCCGTAATATTCCTTCTCCAACCTCTGTTTTACGGTTTAGAATGAGCCAGTCCAGTGAAGAAACAGAGCAACAAAGCCGGTCTGAACCGGTTCAGGAAGAGTGTCCATCGGTTCAAGGACCGATGGAGTGTGAGCAAACAGTTCAGGATGTTGAGCCGGTTCAGGGTGTTGAACCGTTTGGGTTACCGGTTAAGCAGGAAATGGAGGAGTGTCAGGGCGAGACCAGCATGATACCAGATTACTCAAACGATTATTTGCCAACAGATGTTCCGTTTTTAGAAGATTTCTTCAATTTCGAAGCAGCGGAACAGACATTGTTTGAGGATACAACGACAGGTTTTCCCAATGATTTTGGCACGTCGTACAATGACACATCATCATCGGATTTTGTGAACGACTTCCTATTTAACGATGATTTTGGCAATTTTGATGATTCGTTTCAAGACTTGGGAACATTAGGAGTGGATGATTATTTCCAAGACATTGGTGCTGATTTTTCAAGTGTTGATTCTCTGTTGGCAATATAATTTCAGTTCTACTTTATTAAATTTTTGTGTCACAGTCCCGGCTTGCCAGTGTTAATTGGCAAATTTTGTCTTCCGGCGACAACAAGAAATCGGCTAGAGTTTTGTTTATTTTTTTCTTTGAGTATATTAGTATTTATTAGTATTATATTTATTCGTTTTAGAATCTCCGTGAAAGTGAACGGAGTGAAGAGTGGAGTTTTATTTTTAGTTTATAGATGTTGGCTTTAAAATAAGTAGAGGTGTCCTTGGAAAGAGTTGTATCGAAAAACTCTATGGAGATTTAATGAGAATCACATCTTCACTGAAATTTGAGTTGTTCCGAATTCAGTATTTTTTTCTTTTTTCGGTTTCTTTAACCTGTTTCCTTAGTTAAAATATTTGGTGCATATAATATGTCACTTCGCAGAATAAAATGAAGGCAAAAAACGAATCAACATCTTGATGTGTACTTATAATTAATTTCATATGTTATTTATGATTAATTCTAGGATTTTTAATGAGTTTGTCAAAATTTTAAACGAGTTAAAAATTGATCAGAGGAAGTATAATGTAACATCAACAAAATTGATTTAATAAATAGGTGAATCACCTCTTAGATTTGTATAGTGAATCCATTTGAATATACTGATACTGCCAAAGTGGCATTCTCTTTGCCACACACCATTAGGCGTGATTTGCGGTTTGTTCAATTGACCTAGTCAACTTGGTGTGGTTTATCTCGTGTGTTAGTAAAGATACAAAAGACATTTTTTTATGATAAGCACTAGAAAAGATTTATTCCAATCTTGGTTAAATTTGAAAATTAATAAGGGTATGCTCCATTAAAAACGTGATGTTTTTCCACATTTGTGCCGAAATTCAGCTGCGGGGGTTTACGAGGAGAATAATAGAAGCTATGCAAATAACGGGAAATAAATGGAGAAAGGCTCAACGTAATTACTATGATATTATAGCCTTATTAAGATTGTTACCACTTTTTTGTAACATGTTCGTATGCTCGTGTTAATTCACGTTGAGAATTCAATTGTCGGTTGTTGGGAACAAAAATAATTCAATTTTGGGATAAAATGTTTCACCTATAACTAATGCAATTTCATCCGTTTTAATAATAAACTATTGCATGTACATTTCCTGTAATTTCATATGAACAACTCACCTTTTTCTGCAAAAATATTATACTCCTATACAGAGGTGGAGTCAGGATTTCAAGTTTTTGAGTTCTGGGATTCTAAATATTTTAAGTTACTGGGTTTTAAATTAATAATTAATATATATTCAATGAATTGTTTAAGACAAATACATGGTTCGAACCAAAGCTATTGGCTCGGCCGAACCCGCACGGGCACTCTAGCTCTGCCCCTGCTCCTATATGGTTTTTAATCCGAATATGTAAATATTTGTGTACCGTTAAATGATTAAAGAAACTTGTGCTCTAGTTTAAAAATTTAAATTAAAAAAAAAAGAGAAAAAAAAACTCCTTTTTGGAACTTCCTTTTCATACCTTGAACTTTATGTGGAAACGCAAGTTCATTCAATAATTTGCGCGAAGGCGCAGAAAAGGCCATTGCATTTAGTGGACAAGTCAATTTTCTTTTTCTCTAATTGCTCTGCGTATATTTTTTTTTTCTTTTTCCTAAAAAAAACGACAGAATTAGCAGAAATTAAGAGAGAAAGTGAAAGACGATGAAAAAAAAGCAATTAAAAAAAGTAATAATAGTGGCATGGTGCCTTATGTTCTAACAAACACAAAAATCGACAAAAACCAAAATTAGTTATGCCTCAATACTATTGACAATGTCCCGAATACCTGGAATATAAGTGGCTCAAAGCCTCAAATTGGAGCAACAGTCCAAAATTTATAATCAGCCAATTAATTAAACAGTTCACAATTCCAATATACATGTAGCTTTGACCATAACCTACTAACGTCAACAGCATCTTTTATGTTCTTGGTCAACGCAAAACTTAGCCTTTCACTTCTTGGGCGTGAAAAAAAGAATGTTTATTTCTTTTTTAAATATTTGAGTGTGAAAAAGAATAGATTAGAGTAACATATTTTCCACAAGCAAAAAGGCTAAAAATATGAGTCATACGCCACCAGCCAAAAAATAAAAAATGACCAACTACTTATTTTCAAGCTTAATTTCTTAAAATAAGCCTCCATATTATGGCCCTCACCACCTTATATTAGCAGACAAATTTCGTGGAAAAGATCTTTGAAGTGCACTTTACAATATTCAATTATCAGTAAAGTAAAAAAACATATGTTATTTTCTCCTAATTGAGAATTTTATGCACGCCTTTTAGGAGGGTGGACACACGTCTCAACAGCGCTTTCCTATTTCATCCATAAAAATAAGATATTTCTTGTTAGTGGAGTAATTGGTATGAAACAAAAATAGGGTATTCCCATTTAATAGGGTGCTGCAATCAAACAAATACTGCTACTTATCTTGACGTAATTTCAATTCACTCTTAATAAATTAATATACTCATTCTCCTGGAGGATAAAAGAAAAGTATATAAGTCATTGTCAATAGAGGGTGTTACAAGATAAAATATGTATGACAATAATTGTTGTTCTCACTTGCCTTACCCAAATATCAGATATTCACGTCAAATCTATAAATATAATGAGTGTACTATTTGAAATATACTTTTATCACGAATATCAATTAACTACTAGAAATATGTAAAAAGAATTTCTTAAATTTTTAACGTTAACTATAGTAAACTGTTATAAAAATATCACATATGAGTAAAAAAAAAAATTACTTTCTCAATTTTAAAGTGATATAAGATGGTCAAATGGGCTTCCGACCATTAGTTACTTTCACAAGCCAACATAATGATTATGGATTAATTTGTGTGTTTCTCTCATGCATGTGTGAGATTGACAGTAGGCTGCTGATTAACCTCCTCTTAGATCACTATCACTCTAATCAAACTTTACTCTTTATTCTTCTTCTTCTTCTAAACTTTTTCCCCAAGTAGTTTTTGCTATTGGAAGATAAGTCAAGATTGACAGACAACGTTGAGATTTTTTATATAACATACCGTTCATTGATCTAAACATCTCTTATAATTTGAAAAATGTTAATTCACTTTTATCCCAAAAAGGACAGCATTGAAGAGCCAAATAATTAGTAGTCTTTGATTATAATCTTTTAATAATCTTTTTAGAAAACTAAGATGTGTATAGTAGTCTTTTTATTTTCTAAAACTACATAAATTTTAGTTTATAAAAGTTATGAAATCAAAATTTCTGATTTTGCAGAAGACCCTCATCAGTACTTTATTAACGGATGGAAAAAGCTCACATTTTAACTAAGTAGCTCAAATTCCCAAAATACCATTTATAACTATATATACATTCTAACAAGCTACCCGATAAATTACTTTGGAGGAGGAGCAATACTTTTAAGGGTCGGTTGGTAGAAAACAAAGCTATCTAGAATTTTTTGGGATTATATAATTAGGATAAATAATCTCATCTTCTACGGAATAGATAAGTTCATGATATTAATGTCACTATCCGAATTCCTACCGTCGGAATCGTGATGGCGCCTGATATTTCACTTGCTAGGCAAGCCAACATTAGAACAGTTTATCCATTTTTTTATAGTTTAAATCAAATCATGAGAAGAACTGAAATAACTGAGATAATCCAAAGTATAAATGCGGAAGCTAAAACTGCCAAACGCCCGGTACAATCTTGAACGTGTCACAAGTGCACGAGATACTAGAATAGTACAAACAAGAGTCTGAAATAACATAAAAGTTGTCTGAGAAAGAAGTACACAGCCAAATAAAAAAAGGAAGGGGACTCCGGGAGCTGCGGGCGCTGAGCAGTTGCACCTCAAGTCTCCGCAAGCTGTCCAATCCGAGCTCGCTAATAACCGCCACTGGGACCGACTCCAACATCTGCACAAGAAGTGCAGAGTATAGTATGAGTACAACTGACTCCCGTGTACTCTGTAAGTGCCGAGCCTAACCTCGACGAAGTGGTGACGAGGCTAAGACAGGTCACCTACACTACAACATGTACACAGTATATAATAAAGACAGAAAAGGAAATGCGAAACAAAAGAAGATAGTCAACTGAAGATAATAGCTATAGCCTCAAGAAATAAGCCAGTGTCGTTCAGAATTACCAATCGTTAGAGTTTCAAATGAAAATATCGAAAACCAACACAGCTCAAGGAAATAGAAACACATAGGTTGTTGCGGCACGCAATCCGATCCCACCGTACTACACAAAATCCTCCCTTATTTTACCGTAATATCGATAACAGTAAATAATATATATATATATATATATATATATATATATATATATATATATATATATATATATATATATATATATATATATATATATTGCAGCCCGCAACTCGATCCCGCCATATAACACTATCAGTTTCATAATTCACCCTTATTTCACCGTATCAATCCACCCTTGTTCCACCTGTTGCGGCATGCAACCCGATCCCACCGTATCAGTACAAATTCAACCTTACACTACCAAATCAATCCACCCCTATTTCACCTGTTACGGCGTGCAACCCGATCCCACCATATCAGTACCAAATACTCAATGTGCACAATCACATCAATAATTCAAATCACAAGAACCTTTACGATCATTAAATACCAAGCTGAACCCAAAAGGAGACCTTGTACAACACGGGAACTCATATAGGTAATACTACACAGCAAGTCAAGTCCGGTAAATGACGATTAGAAGGTGCAAGTAAGTCAGTTAAAGCAAGTAGCAGTGAATCATGAAAATATGAAAGGATCTAACATAATTAACATAAAAAAAATATTGATTAACAGATAGCAAATAAGCATGGAAGGCAGTTAGAGCATATAACACTTAAGACAAGGAAGGAGATAATCAAGGAAAATCGAAAAATCAGGGAAAACAGGTAATTCAGCGTCGTATAAGCACTCGTCACCTCGCATGTACGCAGCAACACATGAAATTCACATAACACATAGTCTGAGGGGGTCCTAATTCCCTCAAGTCAAGGTTAGACTCAACACTTACCTCACTCCGCAGTCAATTCAGAGCTCTACTGGGCTAGAATCCGCCTCCAAACCACTCGTATCTATCCACATTTGACTCAATAATATCAAATATTGCTAAAGGAATCAATTGCTATGCATAAATTCTGAATTTCCAAACTTTCCCCCAAAATTCAAAAATCGACCCCAGGCTTGCTTGGTCACAACCCGAGGTTCGGACTAAAATCCATTACCTATTCACCCGGAGCCCGATTATGTAATTAGTTTCGGAAGACC